TTATATCGTGTAAAATGCCTGAAATAAAGTTTTATCCCCTATTTTATCCCCTTAGGGATGGAATTTAACAAAGGGGGGATATCTAGGGGATGCCTACGTCATAGTAGCTTTATGCATGCAGTCTCAGCCTGATCGGTTTGAAATTGACAAAGTTTGATACAAACTTTCATTTCCTATTTTATCCGCTTGGGGGTAGAATTTATCAAAATCCTTTCTTAACAGATTCCTACATCATAACATCTGCTTGCATGCCAAATTTCAGCCCGATCCGTCCAGTGATTTGGGCTGTGTGTTGATAGATCACTATGTCAGTCAGTCCTCTAAATATATATAACTATATATTTAGATGTAACTCGTTATTTAGTGATTGGGCTACACCTGGCATCTACAAAAGTCGAAATAGGTTGTACGATTTGTATGGGCTAAAGTGTACCTCGATTGATCCAAAGTTTATTGAATATGTCAGAAATTATTCAATTTTTTTTAAGAAAGTATGTGTTACAGCAAAAGCAAAATATATATCTGAAAAAATTTATAATTCATAAAATAAAATAAAAACAACCTGGTCTATCATAAATCAAGAAATGGGGAAAAATAAATGTAATATGCGTACATACTCATTAAAGGTTGACAATAAAGTAATTAAAACAGATGAAGCGGTTACCGATACATTTGAGAAATTCTTTTCTAAGACACCAATAGAAATCACTAGAAATCTTAGTTCATGTTCTAGACTTGCAGTTACTCATATAGAGTCAGTTGTTGATAAGTGCAATACTGAATTTTATTTTAGACATATTAAAGCTCACTCAATTATTAAAACATTTAATTGCATTTATGTCAAAAAAAGCGAAGACCTTTGGGGCGTTTCAACTTATGTTATTAAATGTATAATACCATCTATATTTTAATTTATTTTTAATAAATACATTGATGAAGGAACTTTTCCTGATTTAATAAAAAATTGTAAAATAATCCCACTTTTCAAGGCAGGCGACAAGTCTGATCCCAGTAGTTTCAGACCAATATCTATACTACCAGCACTAAGTAAAGTATTTGAGAAAATTATTTATAATCGACTGCTTGCACACTTTTCGTTAAATAAATTACTTTACAAAAATCAGTTTGATTTTAGCAGAGGTAAATGTACCACAGACGCTGGAATTGCACTGAGACATATCTATGATGCTTGGGAGAATAAACAAGATGCTATCGGCATTTTTTGCGATCTGTCAAAAGCATTCGACTGCGTTAATCATGAAACACTGTTGGTGAAATTAGAGCATTATGGAGCACCCATTACTATGGGCGTCCCTCAGGGATCGATATTAGGACCATTACTTTTTCTAATTTACATTAATGATCTTCCTCACTTTACAAAGAATTTGTGCGAGACAGTGTTATTTGCTGATGACACCTCTGTAGTGTTTAAAGTTAAGAGGGGTAATGATTGTTTTGACGATGTAAATGATGCTCTCGACAATGTTCTACAGTGGTTGACAGTAATAATTTAAAGCATAATTCAAATCACAACAAAATGCATAAAGTTTGCATTACCTAATGTGAGGCATGTTAATACACTTATAAATGTAAATAGTGAAAAAGTTGAGTTGGTGGAAGCGACAAACTTCCTTGGTATTACCGACTGCAATGGGATCCTCATATTGATAATCTGTCAAGTAGACTGAGTTCTGCAGCATTTGCTGTTAAGAAAATTAGACTCTTAACAAATGTTGAAACGGCAAGATTGGTATATTTTAGTTATTTTCATAGTGTAATGACGTATGGGCTATTGTTGTGGGGTTCGGCGGCTAGCATTCAGGATATTTTTATTTTACAAAAGAGAGTTGTCCGCGCTATATATAATTTACGGTCTAGAGAATCTCTCAGAGAAATATTTAAAGAAATAAATATTTTGACTGTTGCCTCTCAATACATATATGAAAATATATTATGTACGCAAGAAAACATTACGATTCCTTCACAAAAAAAAGTAGTGTTCATAATCTTAACACAAGAAATAAAAATAAAATTGCCGTTCCAAGCTTCAAACTTCAGAAACCAAAGGATCATTTCTGGGTAAATGCATTTCTATGTTTAATAAAGTTCCACAAAATGTAGTTGACCTACCCATAAATAAATTCAAAATTCATGTTAAGAACATACTTATGAGTAAAGGCTATTATAAAAATAAAAAGATTATTTTAAGGATCGCAATGCATGGAATTATTAGCCTTCGCTTTGTTCTATAAAGACTAATTATACGTTCAACCTATGTCCTACAGACTTTGAAAGTTGTATTTATTATTGTGATAATACATATTATTTTGGTAATGATATGATTTATGTAAATGTCATTACTTATGATAAAAAGCTGGTAAGTTTCTTTCGCTTGTTCTTCTTGTCAGCTAAAAGACGTCCTGAACAAGTGGTAGGGGAAAAAATTTTTTTTGGACGATTCAAAAGTGCTTATAATAGCCTACTTGAATAAAGATATTTTCATTTCCGGAAATTAAGCAACTTTCGCAAGGGCTATTCATGTGATGGGGTGACGAAACATTGACTGTCTCCAGCTCTTCAATACTTCCGATGCTTCGTTGTTTTTAAACTATCTATACTTAAGAAACACGTTGAAGTAAATATTGCTAATTCAGAGTTGTCTTATTAACATGATCTTCGCTTTCGAATCAATGAAGCAAACAAACAGAATTAGTAATAGTAAAAAATGAATTACTGTAAAACCATAAAGACATAATAATACCAGTAACATTTTCCATTATTGCAAAACTGATTCTTGGCTGGATTATGAAGAAGATAAAAGAATAATGGTTGCCGTTTTACGGCACGACCGACAGACAAATGGTGGAGAAATTTGGACGTCGGCTGTTAACGGCGACCGATTATTGCCCATTACGTTACCTACTTGAACCTTAATCTGTGAGTGCGAAGTCGAAATTTCAATAACTTTAGAAAAAAAAACACCAGATCATCAAAGGTTGGTTTGTGTGAATAAACATACCTGTCTATTATATAACGTCTACTTTCATAAACCTGTAAATTGCAAACACCGGCCAAGGGTGAGTCTGAATCGCGTACGTTGGGTCCCGTGCCGGAAACGATATTAAAATCTAGCTTGTAGTATTTGTTGTTGAAGCGGCAATAGAAATACATCATCTGTGAAAATTTCAATTGACTAACTTTCACGATTGATGAGTAATAGCCTGGTGACCGCCAGCGAAGTCTTAGTAATAGGGTGCCCGTTTTGCCATTTGGGTACGGAACCCTAAAGTGACATTAAAATTCCGTCTTTCAACACCCCCTGTTGCTTGCCAGGTAACAGGGGCTATCATTGTGACCGACATGAATTCTGTATACGCTGGAACCTATTACCATATTAAGGTTGCACCGTGCTTCCGTATATTATATTACCAGTTTCATCAAGCTTATAACCAGAACTAGCTTTTGCTCGCGACTTCGACTGCGTGGTAAAGTTACTTTGAGCAGCATTTCTAACTAATATTTATTCATTATATCGTGTAACTATGTCAGTTAATCACTTTTGAGTTATATATATTTATAGATTAAGGTTCAGAGCGTATCTGATGGTAGATGTGTCGCGTCCTATGATATCATTGGTCAGTTGCACAAACATAAATTAGGTTTAACGACGACTTTAAGCTCTAATTAATGACAAATTTGTGTGGACAATGTTGATTACTATCACATACTTCTCGTGATGTTCAACTATCTATTAATTGACTATAACTAGCGTAAAGTTAAATAGCGTCTTAAAGCTGATCGCGCTATTGCTATTTCAACTAGTTGGCTGCTGCAGTACACCTATCAGTGATTGAATATTCATCACATTCACCCACTCCTTGTAGTCGAACGAATAACTTCTTACTTATCGCCAACTCACTTTTGTGTACCTGTTCGTAGCCACTCTGACATCTGCCTAATGTCAACGTTAGTAATGAAGAGGACCTTTACTTAACATAAATTAACATTCTCTCAATTGAGTTGAACTTATTTGTACTTTTGAGAGACTATTAGCTTCTGTGTTCCGTCAACAGACCCATTTCATTAATAGCACTCGAGCAAAATTATTTTAGAATATTTAAAGTATCTTTCTGTTATGATACTAATTATAGTATTGCATCGAAACAAATTATTTCTCAGTTCACTGAGATCTGGGAGCATAGAATATACCCGGACTAAGACGAGAAAAAGAGAATGTGGACAAAATGGACCATTCCTTCTTTGTGATTCTATCTTTAGAGAAAGACTGCCGCACAAATACAAATATTAAAATATCTTGATCCAAAAACATAACTTTAAATTTCAAGTTTAATATAATCATAAATAACGTTTAATTCATTTATATTCACAAACAGTATCTTAATTGTTATTATGGCAAAATATTAAAGACAGTAATTTATACTTTATTATTATAGTTTATAAAGTTTATTCACTGTTATTCCACATCTCACAAAAGAGAGTCTTTGCCATATGAAGGTAATCATATAAAACTTCCTAAACAAATTAAAATATTCATTATATATATATGTATATATATATAAACATTATTTTATTATTTAAAATCATAAACCGTTTTGATTTATACTAGTAGATATGGATAATATTGCTTCCAAAGCAATGGTAACTCAACCAAACCCACTCACATAATACGAGTACAAAGGGATGAGTGGAGAGTTAAGACGTCTCGGTCATGGCTTCCCGGATATCATCCTCAAGATAGCGTACGTTTTCAGATTTTTAGTATCCGGGGGTATAACGCGTAACGAACACATCCGCTTGTAAAGACAAAACAATTTCTCAACAATTAAAACAGAGGTTCGTGATACAACTATCTTAAATTCTTCACAAATTTTCGCCTGATTAATATAATATTAACAAACTGGCTCGCGGACTCAAAGATTCACTTACAAAAAAATAGTGCTACTTTTTGTTAGTTATTTAGATTCTAATTTTTCTTACAGTATTCTCTTCGCGGACATCTGCGGCTTCACTTCACTGTCAGACCAGTGCACAGCGGAGGAATTGGTGCGTCTTCTCAACGAATTATTCGCAAGGTACTATATAATTTCAGTAACTTGGAACTATGCAAAAGTATAAAGGGCAGAAGACTCGGTTTGCCGTTAAAGGTTTTTAAAACGGTGCGTTATGGTTAAACTAATACCGTGGACAGCAACCACGTATCAAAGTTAACTTCCGCGTAACTCCGGATCATCTGCCCTGTACACACTAAGGATTTCGTAGATCTTAAATATACATAGAAAGGGTTTAGCCGGATACGTATGACGAGTCGGCCCCCAAATGGGAATCGATATTGAAACTTATGTTTTAATATCGACTTGATGTTCAAACACGATTTATGTACTTTTCGCGACCGACTTCCGCTTTGACCTTGAGATAGAGAGCAAAATATCCGTATGCTTGACTATTACTGAATGTGATATATCTCTAAAGCTAATTAAGATAAAGAAGTGAAACTAACGCGAGGTGTTAGGTTACATTACAGAGTATATCACATATATTTTTTTATAATTTTTAGAATAAAAAATTACATTAAAAAAATAAAAAATAAAAAAATCATGTTTTTTTTTCTGAGTTCTCTGTGACTTACAATCACGAAATTAATATATGTTATGCTCCTTTGTGTGCTCTATTACCCATAAAAATTGCGTGAAAAAAAAGTTGGTGCAACACAACGAAAAAAAATTATATGTGATTTCTGTCTTATGGTATACCCCTGTATTATAAGGTTTTCACATTACATCATTGTTTTTTTTCGAAATTTCACATCAGCTTGTTTTAAAACATAAGTAACTAGTCTTAAGAGATGGGATAATAGTTAAAAAAGAAATGAAAAAAAAAACAGCCAGTGTTCAATACTTATTATGATTACTTTTTCGTGTCTATCAAAATACAAGAAACAAAATATTAATCATCGTCACTGTTGTAATTAATTACAATCGGAACACTTTGAGTCGCAAATAACTTAGTTAGGACCTCAGCAGGACGTACGATTTTGGACAAATATCATCCATATGATAGATAATAAATAATAGCTGCTACATGAGAACAGCATCCCACTGTACGTTTGCCATTGGGGCAATCACAGCAATAACGAAGAATACTATTGTAGTCATTACCTTCGGAAATATAGTGAATGTAAATTCGATAGACTTTTCTATTTATATGTCTTGATTTTACTACTGCTTTGATGATATTAGGTGCTGATTTCACATATTGTACTGAGAGATTATTTTGATCGTCCATTATTTCGGCCAAGTTAAATGCTGCACATTTAGAAGTAGAAGCTTTTTTGTTAATATATGGGATAAGTCGACACTTCTTACAAAAAATATCATTAACTATTACGATTTTATTCAAAAAGTCACTAAACACTTTAGCTTCTTCTTCATTCTTTATAATTTTTTTATAACCAGGAATCTTACACAGGTACTTGTTACAATTTTTACACTTTCTCGACATTATTACTTAATAATGATTTGGTTCGATAGTTAATAATTTCAAAATGCTGATACAAAATACCTATGACAGAATTTGAGTCCCAAACTGCCTTCTTGTGATTACACAAGAAGGCAGTTTGGGACTCAAATTCTCGAGCTGTTCTCGAGCTGTTTACTGCATCGTTTGTTTAGCTGCTACTTTAGCGAAACAAACGATGCAGTAAACAGCTCGATAACAAGTTCGAACTTGTTTGTTTATACACTCACACTACAAGGCGCGAATCACATATAATTTTTTCGTTGTGTTGCACCAACTTTTTTTTCACGCAATTTTTATGGGTGATAGAGCACACAAAGGAGCATAACATATATTAATTTCGTGATTGTAAGTCACAGAGAGCTCAGAAAAAAAAACATGTTTTTTTTTATTTTTATTTTTTTTATGTAATTTTTTATTCTTAAAATTATAAAAAAATATATGTGATATACTCTGTAATGTAACCTAACACCTCGCGTTAGTTTCACTTCTTTATCTTAATTAGCTTCAGAGATATATCACATTTAGTAATAGTCAAGCATACGGATATTTTGCTCTCTATCTCAAGGTCAAAGCGGAAGTCGGTCGCGAAAAGTACATAAATCGTGTTTGAACATCAAGTCTATATTAAAACATAAGTTTCAATATCGATTCCCATTTGGGGGCCGACTCGTCATACGTATCCGGTTAAACCCTTTCACGTATCAACACTGGAAGATTTGTTACTTAATAGCTTTTGAAGTTATTACTCGCATTCGTGCAGCGCTTAATGTTTTATATTAAGTTTTGTAAGCATTTCTTTACTATTTACAAGACAAAACTGTTTATTGTCCACATTACACGATGTTATAGTAAATTAACACTATTATATAACAATTGGCGGCCTTATCGCTTAAAGCAATTTCTTCCAAGCAACCAGTGGATGGAAAGGTAACATGAATAACGAAGATGGGGGTGTAAATGTTAACAATATATCATTGAGGCACACTAATGACTATTTACTATAATACTTAACTTCAGTTTCCTATTTATATATCCCATGTTCAGTATGTCACATCAAATATGATATACATTGTCAGTGCTGGATTACAATACTAATAATTAATTATCGCTTAAATGTTCCATAAACGTAAAACGATCGGATTTCGGTTTGTTTGCTATGATGACGGCTATTATCTATAAATATATAAAAGATGTCCTGACATACTGACTCACAGACGACGCACAGCGTAAAACGCAGGTCGTTGAGACTTAAATATGGAAGCTCGAGTCTTATTACGTAGAAGTTTACTAAGAACGGATTTATGAAAATTCCAAGAAGGGGTGAAAACTGTTTGTTGAAACTTACTTGTTATTGAACCTATATCGATGCAAATTGGTGTTTGATCAGTTTAAGACCTAGGGAAGGTATATAATAGGCTATATTTTATCCTGAAAAACAGCACTAAAAATGAGAGTGGCAGATAGCAACTATTATTTATTATTTGATTTGTCATTATGATAAAATTTATATTTGAGTACATAATTTATAACAAAAATTACATTTTAAATGTAGTTTTTTTTTAATATACAAGTACAAATCATTTTATGTACATAAAAAAACTTTTTATATATTTAAAGCTATATACTAGATGGTTTAAGTATACACTGTTTCAGTCAAGAAACTTCAAGCTTTGCTATACTAGTTGGCGTTTATTCTACACTAAACTGCGCTAAGAATTTAGTTTACGATAAAGTTTCGGGTTGTTCTCTTCATATGTATTTCAAATTGGATAATTTTAATACCTTTTATGACTTTTTACATTGTATAGGTCACATTTCAATACTTCACATTGTGATGAAATGGTTACAATAAGAAATAAAAGTTTGTGTGGGAGTTAGTTTAAGATAAAATCATGAAACTTTATATTAGGGTATTTTACACGATCTTAATTAATAAATATTTGTCTTATCGTTATCGAAAGTCGCGGACAAAAGTTAGTGTAGAATAAGAGGTATAACCTCCACCGCATTACCAAATGTCACGAGGATCACACTCACTGTCTACTTACGCATCTAGGGCCTGAATAATATTGAACGGTTTTAACGTATGTATTATTGAACAATTATATAAGTTTTTAAGCTTTTTCGGATCCTTGGCGGGTTTCGTGTTGATACAAAGATATTGCTAACTTTAAATCTTCGACGATCAATATATTCCAAGCGTCTAATTTAGTTTTATTTAATAAGTGCAGCGTTACATCTCTATGTTCAGAAATCTAACTTACCTATAGATTATGAATATGTGTGAGGATTATCGAAGTATTAAATATATAATAGATAAGTAATGTGTCGAATGTGTCAGAGTTGAGACTCATAGGAGCTCAACCCTTATTGAAATTGAAACAAAAAAAAATTTTTAGATGTGTGAAATTTGTTTTGAGTAGCTCGGTGGCGTAGTGGATAAGCGCCGCAGCACTCGATCGTTGTTGTTAAGCAACTTTCGCAAGGGTCGGTCACGGGGTGGGTGACCAAAAAAAATTATCTCTAGCTACTCCGTACTCTTGGGCCAGGGTTGAGTGTCATGGCCCGTCCTCCTTAGCCATCCATACGTAAGCCCTGAGCCTCTACAGTGGGGACGTAACAAGGCTGATGATCTGTGAAATTTTCGAAGTTAATTCATCTAATTCCTGGTTTACAAATTTTGTGAATGCAACAAAAGTAATATACTCCTTAGAAATAGATTATATTGAACTTAATGGAATGGATTTCGAATCCACTAGTCGATGTCATTTCTTTTCTGCTTACAATTAATGTTTACAAAATATATTTGTTGCAAAACCAAGTTAAGTCTATTTTAGGTTAGGTGAGAAGTTTAGTCTGTGGTAAGTAATTAGTTACACATTTAATGATATCATTAACAAATCTTAAGTGTCCGTCTCTATAATCGTCTCTTCGTCTGCTGAAGATATGATCTCTCAGTAACAAAATACAATACAAAAATTCTTTATTGTGCACACCGTTGTTCACAAAATTATGTCGGAAATAATAGTATATAAGGTAGTACAAATGCGGCCTTATTGCTTAAAGCAATTTCTCCCACACAACTTTATTTATCAGAGTAGAAAATTAAAAAGGCTGCGTTTATATTATCAACATGTAAGGTCCCATACAAATGTTATCGAAATCGGATCCATTTTGTTTTATATCAAAATCAGTGGAGTGGCTCGATGGTGTAGTGGATAAGCGCTGCAGCCAGTGATCATTGTTGTTAAAAAATTTTCGCTAGAGTTGGTAGGTGACCACAATATAATTATTTTCTCGAGCTGCTATGTGCTTTTGAAGGCACGTTAAACCGTCGGCACCAGCTGCATTTGCAGTCGTTAATACACTCCAATCCGCATTGAGCCAGCGTGGTCATAACCTATCCTCCTTAACCCAAGGAGGGCATAAAATGGCTGATGATGATGTCGTGGTAAAGAAAAATATAAATTTTCTTATTCGTTATATTAATCATTTCGTCGCGCTTCACAAAGCTGTAAAAAGTCTGAATACGCAATAATATTATAAGTATAACTAAAAATAAAGTATTTTTTCTTTCAAAAAATATAATCGACTTTAGAAAGCTTCAAAAATAGCGCTTCTAATGATAGCTGATTTTATTAAAAAAAAATATGCTTTTCATGCAACAAATTATTTCAAAAGCCCTCCAGTACGCAATCTCCAACACCGGAGACTTTATATTTTTCCAGTTTCTACATTGATGCACCATCAAATATGACCAATACCTTTAAAAAACATCGAAGTGCGAAACCATACGATGAGGACTATTTTGCAAACTAAAGTTTGCTAAAGTTTGTTTGGGTGTTAATATTATATATTTCCTTATAATATTAACACCCAAAACAAGGGTCTGGGGGATTCTAAATAAGGGGATTTATCATTTTTCCGATGATAAAGTGCCTACAGGACTATTGGGCTATCCATCAAAGCACCTTCGCGATATCGGACACGAACCATCCTAACGAGCCCGAACGCGATAACACAATCCATATACTAATCAAGGGAATAAGGGCGTAGTTTATTGTATAATAAAAATACATACAGACAACATCATATTATACAATGTTTAGATTCCAAGCATCTGAAACGACGAATGTATCACTACAACTGAATCCAAAGCAATATAGAAAAGTAGTTTTTTTTTTTATTGACCCGAGCGAGGAATTGGATTTAGAAAGCTTTTAGTTGTTTTTTTTTTACTAAAAATATTATTTTTAATAGAAAAACATAGTTACCACTTTTAGCATTAAGACTACTTATAACGGAATCGATATCTTATTGATCAACACAACCATGACCATATTTTATTTTGGTATTTGCAACTTACATGCGATTGCTCAAAGACAGCTAATTTCGCTAATACCAAAATGTGACAAACAGCTAAAAATTTGCTCCGCGCGAATTTTTCGTGCTACTATTAACTTATATTTTATCTATGTTTCTAGTGTTAAATAAAAAATATATGCTGTATCGCTATTAATAGTTAATTTGTGATTTCAATACGTCATCATCATCATCATAATCGTTCTACTATCATCATCATCACCAGCCCTTTTACGTCCCCACTGCAGGGGCTTAGGCCTTCCTTATGGATGGTTAAGGAGGATGGGCCATGAACCTCTACGCTGGCCCAATGCGGATTGGAGGGTAATAACGACTGCAAATGCAGCCAGGACCAACGGCTTAACATGCCTTCCGAATCACGGAGTAATAATTTTTTAGGTCACCCATCCTGTGACCGACCTTGCGAAAGTTGCTTAACGACTACGATCGCGGGCCACGACGCTTATCCACTACGCCACCGAGCTTCAATACGTCCATCGAACATATTAAGAATACAGTAGACACTAAATTCAGTAAATCTGCTAATAAATCAGGAGTCTGGTAACATTTAGTGAGTATCTATGCGTAACAAGACGGGGGCGTTAAAGGGTCTCCAGTATAAATAAGACGACAGATTTTAAAGCCAACCGTAAATCTAAGAGGGTAAGGGGGGACGTGAGAATCTCATTACCGATCCGTTTGTATGTCGTAAATTGTTCGCTGCGCTTTATTGCATTTTTTTACGGCGGAATCGACTTTTTACTTCGATGTAATGAAGCTCTTGTCGGACATCCGATGGCAATAAGCTCATGGGCGAACTTCGGAAAAGCTCGTTATTTATCTTCGCCAGTTTAGTAAGCAATCTTCTGGAATGTTTTAGTAATCTGTGGCTATACTCTTCTAAGGTAAACCTTTGGTATGACTCGTATATATTCATATCACTTCATATCCTAAATTAGATCACAACACCCAGATCTTTTACAATATAAAAAATATGTTTTTCTATATTGACCCGCCCAGGAATTGATTTAGGCCATGGTCGTCAAATACAAAGTTTTTAAAGATAATATTATTCTAATTAATTCAATTTACCAATTTTGTAAGTTTTTAAGTTGGCATATTTATTTTACATTATCAAAAACCATTTCACAAAAATCAAATTGCTCCATTCACACAAAATTCTGTTCAGTACTTGTTTTTACTAAAGGTAAAAACTAATATTTAATTTACTTATATATATTTATGAATTATTTTATGAATACTTGTTTTACTAGGAGTATTTTCTTTGACTTAAAATATGCAAAGATTATTTAAAGTCAAGCATTTATACATCGCACCTATCCAATTCAGTGGTCCTGGTCAAAATATGACATATGGTACAACTGCTTATTCAACCATATTCAGATGCTCATATGACTTTGCAAAGAAGCATCTAGCGTCGAATAACCAAATTGAGGTACCCGACAAGAAGCTGTAGAGATTGTCAGAACGCATATATTACAAACCTCTAAGACGTTTCATTTAATTCTATTCTGGAGAACGACCTGATGTTATTACGCCTGCACATCGTGATTAATATATTCAGCGATTAATTTCCGATCCTGAACATGACAGTCATCAAAACCCTATTCGTATTTTAATTAATAATTGGAAGATCCCATCTTTTACTTTTTGTCTCTGCTTTGGCAGGTTTGATCGGTTGGCAGCTGAACATCATTGTCTGCGGATCAAGTTACTGGGTGATTGCTACTACTGTGTATCTGGTCTTCCGGAAGCGCGTGATGACCATGCCAAGTGCTGCGTCGAGATGGGACTTGACATGATCGATGCGATTGCGTAAGTTTCTTAAAACTATTATCGTTACCATTAATTTGTTATTACTAATAAAAACTTTTTCAAACGGTATATCTACTCATTGAAAAGAAAAACACGCGTTCCAACATATATATACTAAAATTATTTTTGGTACTACTGACCTACAGACCTGATTTAAAAAAATCGTTTATTATTGGAATCCTACATTATCTCTGATGAATATAGATGATAGAATATTTTCAAAAACGTTAAGGATCCGTATGAAATTGATATTTAAGTTAGTTTTTAAATATTTATTGGGATGAAAAACAAAAGCAAGAAAAGTCTTGCTGGACGTATGAGGTAAACCACTCTTTTCTCTTTTTTGCTTTACCTGATCAGAATGCTTACAAGTTCAGATTTGCTTACCCTGTCATAGAATTTGGAGGAGCATACTTCTAGCAATTTGGGTTTAAATTTTCTCGCTTTATTGACTTTTTACTGCTCTGGTAGCGGTAACATCAACCATAAAAGACACCAGTCAATGAATATCTCCGAACTTTATGCGTGGATGCTTATCCTTATGTATAGGTTTTATAGATCAAACATATTTATAGCTCTACACTCATGAAATTTCGTAATTCGTATAAAACGAAAAAAAAAACTATTCGATTCATCGTTAATAATGGATATATTTTATTCATTCTTGCAGTGATAAAATACTCTACTTAAAAAGGCGCCAAGAATTTTTTTGGCGCCAAGAAATGAAAATTCGACGTCTCCTTCTCTTAAAATCTTGTGAATTTTGATCACCCAGGTGATTTGTTTCCAAGTTTTTTTTTAAGGACAAAAAATGTTTAATTTGTATACCCGTGTGGTCAGTGTGAAATAAACCTCCTTTTAAACTACTCTATAGCATTACCAGCAATATGAGCTTGTAGCTACAGATGCTCCTAAAGCGTAAAGCGTTCTTAATAATTATTATGCTTATACGCTATCCATAGGGGATTTAGTATTTAGCAAGAATTTTCTTTGTGGTTTTGAGTCAACACGGTTACTTACAGACTGGTTCGTGAAGTGATGGCTGTGAATGTGAACATGCGTGTTGGCATTCACACTGGCCGCGTTCACTGCGTCGTGCTCGGCTTGCGCAAGTGGCAATTCGACGTCTGGTCCAATGATGTCACCCTTGCTAACTACATGGAGAGTGGTGGCGTTGCTGGGTAAGTACTAGTTATTTAAAATTTAATAATAAAAGTTATTTTTTCTAATTAAGTTCATAGCAAATCTTCAGCAATACTAAAGTTACAGTTACCTTAAGATTTTGTCTTATTGTGATAATAAAGCCAGTTTAAAAAATGGATTTATTATTTTTTATGATTAAAGCTTGTCTTTTATGAATTGTCATTATTACCGTTCTTATCTTTTATAAAAAATAGATTTGTATATCAAAATTCGATGGAAAAAAGAGGGCCCAAAGTTACTATAGTATTTACATACTGTGAATGTGAAAATGATATTACTATCATCTGTGGATTTTATATATTAGGTTGGGGGAAAAGTATTATCGCATTTAGAATGCATAAACTTGTAATAATATCTTTCTGTCTATACCATTTGTATCTGGCTGCTTCGGGTATCATTAAAAAGTTTAAATTTTATAGAACTTAAATCCATATTCAAATTAGGAAAATGTGTGATTTTCATTTCTTTTTCTGACTATCAAAAAGAGTGAACATAATGAAGAAATTCGATACATTTAAATATTTTATTACACTTAAGGTAAAAATGTAACGCACGCCGCGAAAAAAATTGTGACCTTCATGGACCTAGTGCAGTTTCTGTGAGAGTAGGACATATTTGGCTTAAGCGTTTTTAGCCCGGAAATGTTGATGTTGAATAAATTAATGCATTTTTTTTTAAAGTGTAGTAAGATCGGCATATCTGTAGTTAGCATAGCTGAAGAACTGGGTATTGTCAACAAAACAGTTTTGGTGCATTTTAATAAAGATATAAGAGTACACAAAAAGGTTGGATATTTAAGTACCTCACGAGCTCACTGAAAGAAAAAGAAGTACACGGTTTACGTGTACTCATTTGTGATTCTTTATTACGGCGTAGTAAAACCGAGCCACTTTGTGGTGGTGCCAGGTTTCACCACAGGCTTTAAAGACTATGGCGAAACCTGGGTTAACTCGCGGCTAGGTGATGCCGTATGTATGGTGGGATTGGAAGAGCATTATTTATTATGAGATGTTACCGCCAGGCAGGACCGTCGATTCTGAACTCTTCTGCGAACAACTGATGAGATTTAAGCAATAAGTTGAAAGAAAGCGACCTGAATAATCAATAGAAGGAGTTTGGTTTTTCATTATGATAACGCTAGAAGACGTGTAAGACATCTTTTGCTACTCAGCAAAAATTAAGAGATTTTGACTTGGTAGGTGGTAATGCATCCGCCGTATAGTCCTGATCTTGCACCTTCAGAGTTCCACCGGTGTCGGTCACTTCAGAATTCTATAAGCAGTGATAGGTTAACATCACGCGAGGACTGCAAAAATCACTTGACGCGGTTTTTTGATCAGAACCCCAAAATTTATATAGCAATGGAATCATGTTCCTACCTACAAGATGGCAAAAAGTTATCGAACAAGATGGTACCTACATACTTTAGTGAAATGTAAACAAATTTTATTAAATAATGTTTTGAATTTTTATACAAAATGCGGAGAAACTTTTGCCCAACCTATTAGAAAACTAGGATTGTTATTAATTTGGGGTAGTTCATCATTACTTTTTTCTAAATTATTATTTTCAATTTCAGTAAAATATAATTAATACTTAGCTTTGACTTAGGTATCAGGACAATGCAAGTAATAATCGTCAACCACGATATTATGTTTTTTTTTTGAGTCATTACTAGTTCGACAATTTTATTTAAACAAATCTTGCTATAATTATTTTTTTTTTACCATTCCGTGTCTTAGGCGAGTACACATAACCAAGGAAACCCTACGCTGCTTGGGCGACGATTACAAGGTGGAACCAGGACACGGTGGTCAACGCAACACGTACCTCAAGGATCACAATATCGAAACCTACCTCATTGTTCCTGACGATACCAGTCGCGTGGTTAGTTGAGTATTAACTTTTAATAGGACATTGCATGGCATACATAGGACAAAGTACATAGGAGAGTTCTTTTTTGTGTATTGTGTTGAAACATTTATAAACAAACAAAAATGTTGTAAAAATTATTGATATGTTTTAGACGTGGTATAAAGTGGGGAATTAACTAGACGGGCATGCCCACCAGCCCTCGTTACTATAGGGCGGGTATGTCTGGTTAGTGTAGAACCATCGTCGCAGTCATTACACAGACCTATATAGTAGCAGGTCTGGCGGGCATATTTCCAGACTCGGCCGAGGTTATGCTCGTGTAGTGAATGCCCCTCTTAATACTATAAATTTTGGCACGAATTTTACTAGTCTCACAAGTTCTATGAGAACGAATCCAAAGTGAGCATAGTCCTATAGTCGATTGCACCAAACACCTATTGTATGTTCCTATAGCAGGCGAAAAAACGTACATTTGTTTAAAATATCACGTTGAGCGTTGTATATAACACGAAATGTATCGCTATCCGTACAAATCTTTATTGCTTCCGCGGGGTACTGTTGTTACTGTTGTACGGCGTGGGGTCATTGATCTAAAGCATCCCGTAAAAAAAATCTCTGTACTTCACGGAATCAGTGTAGAGTTCTATGGATAGCGATAAGTACGGTTTAATGCAATGCTATCATAATAAATTGTATTATTATCTGTTTTTTGCCTGCCCTAGGAACAGACTATAATAGATTATTCCCTACATACGTTTCTATTATAAAAGAACTCAGCATCAACATTTGCTAAAGTTGTTTGCCTATATGTTACCACAATCGTACAAACAAAGGAAAGAACCAGGCAATATTGAATTGTATTAGGAGACGACATCCACGAGATTCTTTTCGCTACTGACTAATACTGGACCGTGTTATGTACGGAGTATTTCTATTGTTAGTCAGTGACGGAATGGTGTAGTGAGTCGTCCTATCCAATTATAAATATGGTATTTTACTTACAAACTGGTATTATGCGGATTACACACGGTCATAGTACATTGTTAATCTGATGCAATGGGTATTGTTTGTTTTCATGTTTGATGGGTTCATATCACGGTCTTAATATTATGAAACGGTAGAATAAAAAAGTCTTTGACTTTGCAAATATTAATCCTAAGGCGAGAAAAAGAAGGTCCATATCAGGATGCGTCGCATCGCATTTGTCACGAAACATCAATGTTATTATATAACCTTGTAAACTTGATAGAAAATATGTAACGTACTAACACACACTTCCGTAAGTCGCTTGAGGAATCTGCCGTCAGATTTACACCAAATCTTACGATGATTGGACGCATCATCCACAACAAAAGTTCATGAGGACTATTCATGATGATGTCAAATCATATATAAAAAAGTATCTTACCATGGAGAATGAAATCAATACAGTCTAATAGGGATGATGACTGGGTAAAAAAAATGCAATTCTAATTAGTCCGTCAGTCAGATAATAGAAAAATATTAGATACGTATTTTTTTTACTTCAATTTAACAAGAAATAGCTTGGATAACAGGCATTAAATTTGAGGAGTGGGGGCTCGCTACGTCACAGTTGAGTAGAAAACGTACCATAACGTGACGTCATGCGAAATTTCAACTCAATGTATCGCCGTAATTTTATGATTACGAAAAAAATAAAAAAATACGTGTTTAATATTTTTTGACACTCTACCTGACGGACAAACAAACAAAAATTTGTCATCATCCCTATTCTGTTGATGATAGCCTTACCTTGACAAACATAATTAAATGTGAACGCAGCACTACGAAAAGAGATGGAGAAGTCTCGCAAATCCACAACATTTTATAAACGATCCCATAACCTCGACCATATCAGAAAGAAGAATCGGAAAAAGAAATGGTTTGGTTTCCGGCCATATCAACGAAGAAAATTAACTATTGCATACTAAGTTTTCTATAGTGTATCTGATCTTGGGTGGTTATAGTACAGCATCTAGCAAGTGCATATCACGAGAGCATTCATTAGTTACTCGTACGTTGGGAGTTAATATATATAATTTTGTCTACTATATACTACTTATATTATTTTTGTTCGAGCAGGATAAAAAACCACAGCACAGTTTTTCAATCAACGGCAACGTTTCAAAGGAGATGCGGGTAATGGGTCACGGGTCGCAACACGGCAAGCATGCATCCAAGTAATATTTGAATATTTCTTTATTTTTACTAAAAAATATTTTCAGTTACAATATATATATATATCATATGGTTGAAATTCAAAAGTGGTAAAGATTCGGTAAAATTAAAAGATCTTATCATTAGATATTTAATAATATTATAACTTCCGCCTCTGACCTAGTGATCAAATTAAAATTACCTATGCACTTTACATCAAAAGATGTTAGAAATTTGCTTGTTTAGTTAAATTTATATATTAAAGTTGTATAATTAAGTTTCCAACAAACATTTTCTTTACTATATCGATAAAATTACAAAGAACTTTGGTTGTATGAAGTAATTTCGTATGCCATCCTATCACTCTTACTTACGTATCGTCACCTATAAAGCACTATCTAATGCAAACTTTCTCGTATCTCATAAAATATTAATCTTACGTCAACCGGCAAGTTATTAAATACCTCCGATGTTTATAAAGGAAACAAAGTTTATCCGCTAACTAAACTTTCCACAAGTGTCCCGCGAGCGCAAAAACTTTTACCTTCTTAAGTCAGGCACACATACGAAACGCAGATCATACCTGTGCCGTTATAAACTTATCTGTAAAAAAAAGTTGGTATTAATCTATGCTTATATGTAGATTTCCAATGATAATAAAAATAAAATAAAAAGTGACTTTGTTTTTGTAACACCTAAGTATGCGGTGATCTACTATCTGAAAATAATAAGAAATGTACCAATTTTTTTTAAAGATTAACACAACAAGATACGTATTCGTCCATTTTTTTTTTCAAATAAAAAGCGACTACTTCCTAATTTATTTATTAAAATAAGCATTAGGTTTTAATCTGTTGATAATTTGTAAAATAAACCGGCCATTGGCTGCACTATCGTAAACAAATACACAATCAAACGATTCGTTCGCACTTCGCGTAATATTACTTGTTCACGTACACTGTTGTTTCTCGACAGGATCGACCCGGCCAGCGAGAATAAGAAGCCCGAGGATGAAGTAAATGAGTACCTGATGAAGGCTATAGATGCCCGTTCGATCGACCGTTTGCGCACCGAGCATTGCCGGCCTTTCACGCTTACATTTCGTGATCAGAAGATAGAACAAAAAGTGAGTGATTAATGTCATTGCTGATTTTCGAACTACTTACCTTATGACCTTTGGTATTGCCCTCTGTAGCCGATGAAAGCTATTAGACGCGACATGATGGAGACAGGATTAGGATCCAAAAATGAAATGATGATAACAAAAATTGCCTGTAAAAAATAAGCAAGCTTCCAGCGCGCAAGTTAATCGTATTCGTTTTATTAAAGAATGAATACTTATGTTGTTGTTAAGAATGTTTTGATGTCAATAGATACTGAGGTTTGTTTAAGGCAAGTAAGGATTTTTCACGACGCAATTTAAGGACATATATTTTTTATGTTTTATAAAAGACGTTTGACTCACACAAAGGTAAATATACAATCATACGAAAACTATCACGACCTTTGCACAAATCAAACATATTCTTGATTTATTCAATTTTGGGATATTTGAAACGGTTGCTAGGATTATTATTGCTGCGATAACTTCAAGTGGTTTTACGTACGACGTAATAACATAACGAACGTCGTGATCCAGCCAATTAAAATTGCCACGGCTCCTTGAGGATAGCTTTCGGTTGAATTGTTAACTACTAGGGTTGGTTACTTAATGTATTCAAAATAAGATGTATTCTGCCCAATAATATTTCCTATTTTCTTTGAACCGTGACGTATTTAGGACGTCGCTAGCCAAATAGTTTAGATACTATTTTATTGCAAAATGATTTAGGCGAATTCGAAAGATTTTGTAACGAAAATAGTTTATTTTTGAATCCAGACAAATGTCATACAATCACGTATACAAGAAAAAGAGACCCAATTAAAGTTCAATACAAATTATGTGGTAAAATTCTTAACCGTGTAACAGAAATTAGGGATCTAGGCGTACTAATCGATTCTGGACTGACATTTGTCCCACATATTAACAAAATTGTGAATCAATCCTTTAGGTTTTTAGGTTTCATATTGCGCGTAGGTAAACCATTTAAAAACCCTGCTACATACAAATTACTCTATAACAGTTACGTTCGAAGCCGTCTTGAATTCGCAAGCCCTGTTTGGAACCCTCCTTATCGTGTGCAATCTGATAAAATTGAGAAGGTTCAACGCAAGTTTATTAAGTCGTTGGACTATAGAACTTATAATCCACACCTCAATTATGAGTCCTCTCTTGTTATTCACAATATGATTTCTCTAAAAGATCGAAGAGATCTTATAGATATAAACTATTTATTTAAAATACTGAATGATATGGTTGATGCCCCGTTTCTTTTGGAAAAGATTTTCTTTCGAGTGCCCAGGAAACAAAAGCGATCCATTCGAAAAAAAGATTTATTTTTCGTTAAGCAAAGTAGAACTTGCTATGGAAGTAATAGTTACATAAAAAGAGCATGCACCCTTTACAACAACGTTTTTAACGATGTGGATATATTTGGAACATCTGTTGCTGCGTTTAAACGACATGCCGTTGAAATATTGCAACACTTTGACGTATAGTTTATATAGGCGCATTTTTTAGTATCACATTATTACAGTTTGTTTTTAAATTTAAATTAAAATACTTTAACCGTGACCTGACTCACTGTTGACTTGGTCACTCCAATTACCCGTTTACAAGGATTGCTGTTCCATATAAAGTGTGTTTTATCATTGTCGAACGATTGTCTTTTATCTTATTTTATTTTATATTATCATGTCTTGATCCCACTTCTAATTTAGTATCTTAATTTTGTAATTTCAAACCTGGAAATAAACAATATAATTAATTTAACTAATTAACTTAAGTTTACACCTAAATAACTTGGTAAACGCGAATACGAAGATAATACAATGGTATATATTTACAGTAACAATAATTTCTATCGCTAAAAAATATGTTACCTCTTGTTGTCGGCCTGTCTGATCTGCAATAATTGGAAGCTGATGGCAGCATCATCACGCAACTTTTTCTTGGACTTAGTCCGGACTAAGTTTGATCGAGTTTTTTCATTTTACGAGTATGATTCTAGTTATGATTTGCAATGTGATAATTGGATTGGATCCTTGTGTAACCGGGTCTACCAACTATAACACATAATAAAGTAAAAATAAATAAAAAATGAGGACACTAATTGGTTTTTAGTAAATTGTATATTACATTTTAGTTGATGATTTTAGTTTCTTATGTATTTTATTATAATTTGTTAATAACGTAACTTGGGAGAGTTACTTACCCGATATTGCTAATAAATAAACCATCACAATATAGTTGTTATTATACTAGTTGCCTAATTTTAACGTAATTTTAGTTTCAATATCCACAATCGGTAATGACTTTTCCTAGTATGTTAAACGGCGTACTTTGCGTCTACTTTTCGCCTGCTGCGGCGGCGCACTGGCGACGCGCTTGCTAGCCGCCGCCGACCGGTGCATTGAAGCGTGAATTTTTGTGTTGCGTAGTTCGTTTAACTTAGCATAAGATATAGTTGGATACCCATTTATTTATATTGTTCAACATATTTAGCTTGTTTGATGTTTTTTCTTTGTTTAACAGTAATAAAACAAATGTAATGTTGGGAACTATAGGTTTATTTATATTTTTCTTTGATTTGTGTTCATGTAATTTTTTATAACTGTTTGTTCCTTAATAAATAAATAAAAAAAAAAAAAAAAAAAAAAATAGTAGCTCAACTTTTACATGAATTTGGCGACTGGTTAACGCGAGACGTGTGTATTATAATGACTGCTTCGCCAATATCCTAGTCGCTAGTATCTTTAGCACAAAGAGTACAAAGTATCAACTATTGGAAAGCATTATTTTAAATCTTTTATGTAGCGCTCTCCGGCCGCTCACATGGCACGCTCGCTTCGCTTGCTCCGCTCGATTTTTGGTGTTAGTCACAGTTGTTCTAACCTAACCGATGCAACGGTTCTATCATGTCTAGTGTCATTAAGAGATTTTTTATTGCGTCGTTAATAGTTGTATCTTTTTATTATGATAATTTTGAAGTTTAATTATTTTACAGCTTCAGGGGACTGTAGACCTGAAAGGATGGTTTTAATTTTAACTTGTTATCACGCGTTTCCGAAATGACAGCGTTGATAGACATACATACAAATAGACGGACAATGAAGTGATCCTATAGGAGTTCCGTTTTTTTTCCTATTCAAGTACGGACCCCTAGGAGTTCGCCTAAAAGACAATTATGCTAAAGTATTATTATGCTGTGTGAACAGTGAGGCCAATGTTAAGTGAATTAATTATAAGTCAATTATTTATTTGTTATTACGATTTGTACATGTTACGGGTAATCTGTATAATTCAGGTATTCTAAACAATACATATGGAATGTATAGCATTCTGGAGGCGTTCAGGGAATATATGAAATATTATGAGCATACTTTCCTTATCTCATTACATACTTTCCCTAAGTAATGTAGGTATACAATTCCTAGGGATTGTATAGAGTACCTACTGTTCCGCTGATAATGTGTATAATAAATAGATCTTGGTCTATGTTTATGAATTTTAATAGTCCTACCTTATTATGTTATACCTGTAGGTCAAGTGATATGTTAGAACGTCAGGATGCGTCTTTAGTAGAATAAATCCATGGAAACCTCGAGGTGAAATCAAAAAGGAGGAATTAATTCAGAAAGAGTAAAAGAGAGAACACGACAGATAATAAAGGACGGAAGTAAAGAAGTTTGAAGGCAGACGCCGCGTAAATGTTATGTGCCTCGAGCATATACTATAAACTATGTTAGTGATTCCCATAAATTAACTTTATATAGATCAAGTTAAAAATAGATATCTAATCGACACAGACACTAATAATAGGCAAAGACAAGAAGCACAATTTGTGCTAAAATTTAACAAAGAAATACATTGTCTTTAATTATTATTATTAATAATACAACCGAATACTAAAATTTTAAAATGGTTTACAAGGACTACGGAACTATTTCAGTGATTCTCATATAACTCAATCAGGTATGTAATTTATACGTCAAATTATTGTACATTACTTTTTAATTATTCACAGTAGTAGTATAGTATTAAAGTAGTTAATTTGTTTCAGAAGCTGAAGGAATAGACGATATGGACTGGAGTACTAGTAGCGAAGATAATAAGGATATCAACGACAACCATATAAATAATGCAATCAATTAATTATTTCCACTTCAGACCCCAGCTTTAATGAATCGATGAGAAATAAGTTGACATGGACGATACCGTTCGTGTAAAAATCAACAAAAACTGCCTGATTGTAGAATGACAAAACTAATATACAACGCAGAAATGGAAGGATGTAGAAATCGGGAAAGGCCACGACACACCTTTCATCGTCGTCTAGGAAAGCTATTAGCATTAAGTCTGTCTTTTATACTACTCGTATTTCTCGACTGGTCAATAAAGGTTAATAAATAAATAAATGTATTTAAGGCCTTGTAGCACTCGTTCCCCTCTGCCTACTCCCGCAAGGGATAAGGCGTGTAGCTTTAGATAGATCATTTAAATGATAATGTTAGTAAAAGTTTTTGTAATATCATAATAAAACTAATTTTTAGCGAACTTATTGATACTAAAACTACTGTGTTCTTCTATAGTAAACTATTAAGACTTTTTGAAAATTTACAAATCTCTAAAATGTTGTGATTTAATTAATTATATTTTTATTGATTTATTATAGGACATATTTTTTATGACTTGATTTTGAGTCGTAAATAATTCTATATAATGGAATGTTTCAATGAATCCAAAAAACATGCCGAAATATTCCCATTTATTGAGCTCCCATTTCTTATATCGAATAGATTGTATTGAATTAAATTAATTATTTACAAATTACAAATTTGTAAAAAAATATGGTAAAAGACATAAAGATGCAATTTCTTCATAATGAAATTAGATTATAAATCGATAATTTCAATTTCCTAATTTGAAAGCCATTAGCAATAAGTGCGCCTTCTATAACATTTCTTTAGTAGACAATAAAGGGTAAAAAATAAATAATAAAAAAATGTATTTAAGGGTCATATCTTGTGGCACTCGGTCCCCTCTGCCTACCCCGTAAGGGATAAGGCGTGTAACTTTAAGTATGTTATTTCAATCATAATGTTAGGTATAATTTTTGTATTATATGTGATATTATAATATTATCCTAATAAACCTAATGTAAATTTAAGTCAACTTCTTGATACTAAATCTACTGTGTACTGTGTGTAATCCTTATATAATAAACAATTAAGACTTTGAAAATTTACAAATCTCTTAAGGCTGTGATTTAATTTTTATATTTTTTATTGATTTATAGAATAATTATTTAAGGAAATATTTTTTATAGCTTGATTTTGTATCAGAAATAATAAAATGTTTCAATTAATCCAAAAAACATACCGAACATTCCAATTTAGTGAGGTCCAATTTCCTATATCGAACAGATTGCATTGAATTTAAAAAAATCAATAAACATTGATAATTAAATTAAAAATCGATAATTTAAATTTCCCAATTTAAACTAGTAGTAATTTTTTTTATCATCGGAAATACTGGCACGATCGTGTCTTCTTTTATCTACGGGAAACTACATCATACGCGAGTTATATATGATATAAATTATGAAAGCGAGATCGCGGAAAGACAGCTAGTTAAAAGCATTTTGCTTTAACTTAGTTTAACACTATTTCGATCAAACCTCAAATGCTACGTGTATCTGGCGTTAACTAATAGAGATTTCATATTCTACTAGAATTTGGACAACCCTAGCTTTCAGAATCACATCTCCATTAACCAATTTAATAATCGTCATGTTTCTCCCATACACTAACGAACATAAAGATAAAAATATAACTTTATTTTTGTACATGTTTTGATATCCAATGTCTTTTATAGCTTTAAAATATCTACATTAAAAATAAAATAAAACGAAATCTTTAATTTCTGACACAAGTTCAAACAAGTTTGTATCGAAGGCAATTATTACTTCATTAATACTTCGTGAAATTGACTATTATTTTTCATTCCGACATTTTAACAAGAACAAATAGGTGTTTGCCAAGCTTAAGTTCAGTCAAAAACTTTTGCACACCAAGACAATTGTGAAAAGTATTACCTGAAAAAGTTTTTCTTTCGGTTGGGCTGGAAATAAAATATGTAACATTTTTTTTAAATTGTACTTCCAGCTACGTTTCTTTATTTATTAACTAGCTGATTTCTGATTTCCCGCGATTTAGCCCTTGTAAATTGTAACCTATGTCAACCGCGTATAATGTAACTTCCTGTAAATGAATAAATATATTCGGGCCAGTTGTTTATTCAATACAAATAAACAATAAGATCTTCCCTCTTTAAAGAAAAATCTAAAGAAGATCAGATAACATTACACTCATTGTCTTATTAATATTTCTATCTCGTAAAGGACCCTGATATATAATGTTCTAATCGGACGAGACATTGTATTTATAATTACAAATCGTCGGTTGCCATTTTATCATTAATAATGTTATCATAACACCCTCCCTTCCATCAGTCAATCAATTATAATTACTCATGTTAGTTCAATATGTGGAGAGAACTTAAGTGTCTACAGCCAATCTACCTATAGCCAGTTCGTTGAGTGTATCGGTGCATTGATCCATATAATAAACTCAGTTATATAATTAACCCACCTCTTTTCTTCTAATTAGCTGTACAATGTCACATTATTTTGAAACTCAAAAAGATTTATTATTATTAGAACTAGCTGTTTTACTAAATTTTAAATTATAGCCTATTTCACCCGAGCCAATTCCATGCAAATCTAGTAAATATTTCTTCTTTATAATATTACGAGTAATATGGGTAAAACTCACCCGATTAAAGTGATTTTCTGTAAGTATATTTAAAGATGCTAATAAAATATCTCAACTTTATTTTAATTTTAAACAACATCAGGTTAGTAAAATTAATTTGAATTTGAATATTTTAATGAGAAATTAAAGTAAAAAGGAAAACGCTTGCTGATAATATTTGAAGCATGGCATTATAAAAACTAATAAGAACCAAATACTAAGCTTAATTAAATAATTAGTAATACATATATACGTTGAAGAAGACATTAGGATTATAGTTATACGTAATTTTATTAATATACCTTCCTCTTATTCCTAAAACTTTATTACCTGCGTTACTAAAAAGTTGTTTGATTAACGCTTGAGGATGGTCTTTATATGTAATTATTTATCTGTGACTTAAATTTAATTGAACTATTTTCAATTTTCATATAAATTTAGTTTCAATCGTGTAAAACTAAATTATAAACTCTGTAAATAACAATATACCAGAAGCATAATTCTTGTAATCTATATTAATATTATAAATTACAAGAATTGAGATGGTATAAAATAAGATCGTAATGCAGCTTACAATTTCCCATACCGCGACGTCTACTCTATATTATGACTAGCATTTCGTTAGCGTCAAATAGGAATTTTCAAATATAGCAAAATAGCTAAGTTTATAAATTTAAATTTATTTTGAAGTATATTTACGTTATCCCGATAGAAACATTAATTTAACAAATTTAATTTTATAAACGGTTTTTGCAGCAAGAGTTATGAGACATCAGATCTGAGATGAAACTAAGCACTAAATTGAATCAGGAAAAGAGATGATACAGATGGTTTAATTTTTTTTTCCAACGTCTTCTATTATTTGAGATTGTGACTGATCAATCTACGTTTTTAAATATTCAAATGCACGCTTCAAACATTAATTCTAAAAGAAACTTTTTGCAATAACAAAATGTAATAATGCGACCTCAGACGATTTCCACGTTTAAAGACAAAAGGAGTCCCCGCAGGGATTATCCCGGATATTCCTATACCAGGGGGTTATTATTAAACATCCAGTGAATAAATATTCGATTTATTTCTTCGTTCAATATGTCGAACAGCTCGACTAAGCACAATGCCATCTAAAGATAACTTTTATATTTAGTGTTCCTTATTTTCTTTACAGCAAGAATTAATCACAGCTGAAATACCTTAAGTATGTAGGTACATAGCATTTATATCTAATACCTACATAAAATTCTCGTGTCACAGTTTCGGTTACCATACACCTCCGAAACGGCTTGACCATTTTTGGTGAAATTTGATATCTATATTCATAATATTAGTGAATAAGTTGTAACCTTTAACTAAATAGTAAGTTGAAAACATGATTGTTTTGGTAATATATTCTACAAATGAAAAATAATCACCGAGTTGCTACATACTGGTAATCTTTATATGTGTAATAAGTAAACAAGAAAACATGTATTGTGTTCACTTATAAGTATATATGAAACAAAAAATATACAAATACAATGGTTTTTTATTAATAACCCATAGAACAAAAAGTTTTATAGTACGAATCGGTTCGTATCACCTGCTGATGGTAAATATTCTATGAATGTTTTTAAAGCGCCATATGTAAATTAAATAAATTTTTGTTCGATTTTGTGTTTTTATTTTACAGTATACGACTGAGCGAGATAGAATGCTCAAAGTGTACTTCATCTGCTCACTGGTGGTCTACGTAGCTGTGGTCATGGTACAACTACTGGCTTTCAACCTGTAAGTGTCTCATCTTATATAGGAAGTGCATTGTGCAATTTAAGTAGTCTGAGTAGTAAAGAAACTATCGATAAAGATGAGAATACAGGCCATATTTAACTGGTCAGTTGAACTGCAATTGAGCAGTTATAACACGTGCGAATGAACATGACACCTGATGATTCATGTGTATATTTGTCCTGGAAAAAAAAAACGAAAAATTTCTTTTGTTCCTATATTTTTTTTAAAATCATATTCATAAAAATTATCTGTACAACAGAAGCAGTTATCATCCTACCTCCGTTGCATTATATATCATCAAAAAATATGCGTTTCTTTCTCCAAAGAAACTCTATTTATTCTAAATAGAGTAGGCCTTTAGGTGTCATGTTGATTCGTACGAGTAGAATAAAACGTTTCGGAAATAGTGATCCTTATTATACTCGTATAACTAACTATTGTGCCGCGACTTCGCACCCTAAATTATAGCCTATGTCAAATTCCTTATGATGTAGCTACTCGTAGACGAATGAATTTTTAAAATCGGTCCACTAGTTTCGGAGTTCATTCGATGCAATAAACAAACAAACAATCAAATCTTTCGTTAATATCATTGGTATAAATATGTCACAAAACACATCATATAATCCTACTACATAATTTTGATTAATTACTACTTATTAAAATATCTATACACATTGTTATTGTTCTAAAAAAGTCTACGAAACAAAGTTTTCGGTCAATAGTAGGATACTTAAAGGCGATATAAAAAGAAATAGATATTTGCCTGCTATCGACAGCTTAAACGTGGACTGTTTAATTAAAAATAAATTACACAAGAACAAGATGTAATTAAAAACATTGATTCACAATAAATACAACAGTTTGTATATCCTAGCAAGACAGCAATTGTGATAACAGTAAAAGGTGATAAAAAAATCTAATTTAAAAAATATTTCAAAACACATAACTAAGGAGGCTGACAAAGCTGTCGACATTGCGGGAATGTTAATATTGTCATAAATAGTCAACAACTGTTGTCTGGTACACTACAGACACAACCGTTTTACATAAGTGAAAAATACAAGCAACCTAACGACTGTTATTCCAATTCATTCACATTCGTTCTTAAACAGGACATATCGGAAAAAAATATTGTTTCATTTATTCATTTCTAAAAGTGTGATTCCTTTTCCAGTAATGCGATTGGCTTCGTAACCATAGGAGCATGCGGTCTTGTCGTTGTATCCTCCACCTATATGGTTCTTTGCATTGATTTCGAGGTGAGAAAGTGTATGGTTAATTACTTGAAATATCACACTTATATTTCGATATTTTATTTTAAATTCGGAACGCAAAATAATAATGAATTGGAAGCTCTACATCTCTTTTTAAAAAAAAAAGAGTTTTTAATAATCTTACAGTCGCTTATAGCTTTTTATGGAATGACTAGTTTTATAGTTTAATGATCATGACAAGTCGGCTGATCTAAAAGCCGCCGTAACGTTAATTTATTATGTTTTTCCGCTACCACGGTGTATTAGTGTATGGTGTATCCGATTACGCTGTATATGTTATCAGTTATTACCCACGAAATCAATAAAGTGAGAATAATACCAGCACGCAGTATTTTTCTTTCCCGTTTTCCTTTCTAGCGATATATTTTGCTTCAATAGTCCACTAAATAATTGACTTTTTTATTATCTCTTTATTTATTTAGATATAACAATTAATTCCCAAATTTTTGTTTATTAATATTTTTTATTATAAAACTGCTTTGATACTATTAACAACCCAAAAATTAATTAAGTATAACTACGTACACCTACAAATTTTGTTGTACACTTCAATTGTTCCTTTACAGCACACTTCCCCTAAGTTGAAACGACTAGCATTGAGAGTGCACAACAACCGCACTATTGCACAGATGATGTCCTTTATCGTGGTTTGTGCCTTCATATTACAAGTTGAAGCTATTATGGTACGTATTTTTTGTCTTGTTTAATGAAATTATTAAATTTACTACAAAATCGTAGACCCTTTGGGCAGATAGTTTCCAATTTTTGACATTCAGTAAGACTATAGACAAATATTTTTGCATATTATGTGTCAAACGCATTATATACCCAATTCTTTTTTAAACATTATTTTAAAATATACTATTAGCACTTTCATTCCTACAGTGCTACTTATAAACAAGTTTTAGCGTCAGAGTAAATTTAATAAAATTGCAATTTTATTATTAGTCCATATTCATATTACACAGAGAATAATCAAATCTAGTACCTTCTAGGAGCAAATATTACTTCCGTAGAACCTCGTACTAGGTTATCCTTTGTTAAGTCTCTGTTTAATAATATGAATTTTGACTAATACGAAGAGCAGTTACAGCATAAATTTACTCCAACGCTAAACCTTTTTTATAAGTAGCACTGCTATACTTTAACTATGCCAGACTTCAAGTCTGTCACAGAAAGGCACTGTTGAAGATTAGAAATTCGATGAAGTATCGTATTCATTGAAAAAAATATATGTATGTATTTACAGTAGATGTATAAATACATTCCAAAAATATTGTATCGACAGTTACCAGTTATGTAGTTTGTCAACAAAATACTCTTCATCAAGATAGTCTTGGTAGTTACGTTTGGCAGATGGCAGCGGAATCTTAATCTTTACTCTTAATATTTTTAGGTGCTAGGATTGTACAGCGGTGCAAGATTGGATGCGAAGACGGTGTTACCTGATTCTGCTGGCGGTGGTTTCTGTCCGTACGATATGAACGAGGTGGGCGATTTATACTCGCTTACTTAATAGCCGTTTTTCCGCCACTTTGCCCACGTTAATCATAGTCTGTGTCACCCGCGTATAATGTAGAAAAAATATTTACTTTCGATCCAGTACTTTTGGAGCTTATTCAGTTCAAATTATCAAATCTTTCCTGTTTATAATATTACTTACATAGGTTATATTAACCATATATTTATATTCCACTATTTAACAATTTTCCTTTTATTATAAATATAATGGAATGCTAATAATTAATTTATTCAAGAGAATACATTTACTAGAGAATACAATACCTAAGAAAATCTCTAAAATAAAAAATGTTTCGAGAATTGAAGTCAAAAATTAAGAAAAGTAGCATAATCACTAATCAAATCTAAGAAGATAGAGACACAAACTACGGGTTATGGCGTAATTAAATTAGCTTCATACAACTGTAATTGTTTTAATGTTCCATTAATGATATAGCTACCCTCTTAAGTTAATGCTTTAGTTAAGTATCACATAGTGTGTATCTGGATTAACAAACAAACTTCAACTAGTTACGCCATATTTAACTTAAAAATTTAATTAAAATTAGTTAATTTAAAAATAAAAGATATTTTGTGAAGTTAGTCTGTTTATTGTGAGCATCTTATTTTTTCTGCTGTTCAAAAAATTTTTTTTTAAGATAATTGTATTAAATATTAGTTTACAAGAAAATTATATATATTAATATATTAGAAGTCCATTGTTTTCAGAATTAAATATTTATGAATTAAATTGACTGTTTGGATATTGAATCCTCTGTACACGAACCCAACTCGCTCTTAGCCGTTGTGTTTTTCGTTTTAAATTGTAGAACCTTTAAAAATTCTTCATGCATCAAATTCAAATTTACCAAGAAAGTTAAAGTTGACTCACGCTAGACCATGTCTGGCCAAATGTCGGTCGTGGCGTCAATTACTTTAAGGTCTTTCAATTAATAGGTCAGCATTCAAATAAGTAGGTCGATTACTTATCCTCATCGCACCCATCATCAGCTCTTTGACGTCCCCACTGCAGGGGCAATTAATATTACATATATATTGCATAGTACATTTACGCTATACTGAGCGACAACTGAGTGATGCCTTTTTGAGTATTTTTAAGCATTTTTCACAAAGAATATTTTTTGATCAAAATTGATCAAATTTAATAATGTATTGACCATGGGCTATTGACACAGTCTGCTGGGAGTCATCCCTTACACGATCTACCTGTTGGTGTAACAACTATAGTTTATATTTCAGCACTACCTACAATTGACGCTGATGGTGATGTTCCTATGCGCTGTTCACCAGATTCTTATTACAATCGTGAAGACTGTGTTGCTACTGATAACTTCTGTAGCGTACCTCGTGATAACGACACAGGAGCATCTATACTTGACCAATTACTTTTTCGAGTTCCAGTAAGTCATTACACTTTTATTTCTGAATATTTCTTAATTGATATTCTAGTCATTTGTTACAAAACATTGAGAAAATTTCAAGAAATTAATCAAATATAATCGGTTTTCTATCAAATATGAGCGATACAGCTAAGCATTACGTTCTGACTTAGAAAATTAATTCTCCATAAAAATACATTATAACGAAAGAGTACTTGAATTCTGTCATTACAGAAAACTTGAGTCTGTTTTATCAAAAGATGCCTTATTATCTACCTTTGACTCAAATGTTTCCAAATTATTTTTTGCTTCTATCAAAGCATCGCTTCTTCTTCGTTTTTCCATTCTGGACAAGTTCCTCTGACTCTTGCCTTAATATGTAATCAGCATACTGAACCCTTTTTTCTTGATGGTTCGTATACATTTAAGGTCCTTCACAAAGATTCAGAAAACTTCCATTGATAACCTTTTGTTTCATAATATATATACTATATTAAGGTAATATGAAAACTATGACGTTTCTAAGTGTCGAGAAGCCTAACTACTGGACAACCTAGTTTTACGAACAAGGAATTGTCGTCACTGTAATTTTTATACAAAACTTGCTACCGACCTTGGCTTCGCACTGTTACATTTATATTACAGTAACATCAATGTAAATAAGTTTTCTTTTATTATGTTTCGTTTACTTTATATGGACATTTTGGTATCGCAACAGACACCACTGTGGTCTGGATTGGAATCAGCAGTGGACGAACATCGTCATCGCCCTAGGTGCCACTGTCGCATTGATGCTTCACTCACAGCAAACCGAGAGCACATACAGATTAGACTTCATTTGGAAATTGCAAGCCAATGGTGAGTTTATTAATAACCATAAAAACTTACAAGAATATAATGCTATGCTCCTATGAATTGTTACGTGATTATTTTTCCTAATTGGATACAGCAACCCAAAATACTTTTTCTCGAATTTGTATTTCTGGAAACAGCGGTAGTTAAAATAACCTCAGAAATGACCAGCCACTCCCAATAACGACTTACTTTAATTATTACTACAGATGAGAAAGAAGATATGGAACATCTGGAAGCATACAACAGGAAGCTATTAGCAAACATTCTACCAGAACACGTGGCACAGCATTTTCTCTGCAGTGACAAAAATATCGACGTAAGTTTACTAAAAAGACGTAAATTTAAAAATTTACGATAATATTTCTAGTTAGATTACTTTTAATTCATTTGAGCTCTAACCTTTCGAATTGCTTTAGCATAATATTTTAGTTTTTGTCACATATTGGAAATATTATCTCTAAGTGGTTTACACATAGGCAATTCCGAAGGTCTTTGAGATGCCCTAGTAATAACAAGATTCTTGAAAGTTGTGATACTTTTCTTGTTCCGGATTTCTATAGCCCTTGTGTTTTAACAACTTAACTGGCGATCTGAATAATATATGTGTTGTTTGATAATACTTCTTATTTCTTATTAGGAGCTGTATCATGAGCAATGCGAATCAGTATGCGTGATGTTTGCTTCTATTCCAAACTTCTCGGAGTTCTACGTTGAGCTGGAAGGTAACAATGAGGGGGTGGAGTGCCTCCGTCTTCTAAATGAGATTATCGCCGACTTTGACGAGATTCTAGCTGAAGATCAGTTCAAGTACATAGAGAAGATCAAGAGCACTGGCGCAACGTACATGGCTGCATCCGGTTAGTGTATTAATGATTGTTGCTGATTCAAGGCATTCAATGTGGATATATATTTTTATGATTTTAAGAATTACTGTGTACTAGGGTCAGTTCCTTAGAAAATATTCTACCCAATTTTAATTTTAATATAACAACGGAAGTTGAAACTTTTTAAGTTCATAAAGATATGAAGATGGATAAATCATAGATAAAAAATCCGAAAACTGTAACTTTTAAATACAACTTAACAATAAATTTACTTTAAAATATTTTCATACAGTAAATATATTAAAACTACGTATTCAAACAAAATTTCTATTTTTCTTTTTAAAATTCTACCTATATTTAGTCAACCTAAATTATTAAATTCCTCCTTAACCATCCATAAGGAAGGCCTGAGCCCCTGTAGTGGGGACGTAAAAGGGCTGGTGATGTGTGAAATTATTAAACATCAAGAAATAATAGTGTCCTTGTTATTAATCTACGTAAATTTATTAAGAGCATATCGCCTACCTACTACTACCTTTCTTCTACAATTTTCTAAGTGCTATTCACTGCTTTTAGGACTGACTGCTGCAACACGAGATCTTAGGGGATATCGCCACGTGACTGCAATGGCTGATTATGCACTCCGCTTACGTGAGCAACTTCAATACGTGAACGAGCACTCATTCAATAGCTTCCGAATCCGAATTGGTAAGTTCGTGACTTGTAAAAATTCGGGGGTAAGTCTCAAAGTTTTTGCTAGAGATGAAATCCAATCTAATTTATCTGTTGTACGCTATGCGAATTTTTTTTTTGTAAAATTGTTGGCAACATCGCGAGTTTGGTGATGGTTTATGACTTTGTTATATACGCCCAATGGAATAGGCACGTATTATTTGTACATTTCAAACAGGCATCAACATCGGACCGGTAGTTGCCGGAGTCATCGGTGCCCGCAAGCCGCAATATGACATCTGGGGCAATGCCGTTAACGTTGCATCGAGGATGGATTCTACTGGATTATTGGACCATATTCAGGTGCATATTTTAGGGTTTAGCCATGATTCAACTATCCAAGCACTATAGTCTCTTACCAGGGCAGGTGGAAAAATGGACAATGACTAAATAAGTATATGTGGGCGTTGAAAGTAATGGATGGATACGTATCGCTATCAATAGTACACTATATGGTGTCGACGGAGCACTGCTTATTATTATACGCAGTGAGATCAGCGACCTTTAGCGTCCCGTAGAACAAAACTCAGCACTTTGCAAAATTGACACAGATGTCTATGGATAGTAATATGTATTGTTTTCCTTCGACGCTCATATATAAACATGTGTCATTGTCCGTTTTTTCGCCTGCCTTATGAACAGTTTATAATAACAATATATTTCAACTGTAATTAATAATTGCTTTGGATTTATAGAACCCTTTACGACATTCGCTTTGCGATTGTGGTACCACAACAACTGTCTCCCCTTGTCTGTACTGCAATGGCGAAGTTACACCTATATCTGAGTGTTTGATAAATTATATTTGGCCATTTAAAGTTGTGATTATATTTGCCAAGCGATTGTGTAGGTGACTCAAGAGGTGTACGATATTCTGTCGACACGTGGCTACAGCCTCCGGTGTCGGGGTACAGTTGACGTCAAAGGCAAAGGAAACATGGTGACATTCTTCCTCGAAGGAGTCGGTGATACTGCGCTGCCAGGATCCCGTGATATTTACATGGTGAGTTTATAATACATATTTCTTCTTCATGTAATATCATAAAGATCTGATTGTTTGGTTTGTTTGCATTGTACAAACTATTGGATTGATTTTAAATGCTTTCGCTTACGGGGAGCAACATTACACGCAAGTAAAAAGGCATAATTTCTGTGGACAAAGTTGCGGAAAACCCGCTTGTTACTGATGATAAACAACAATTACACAAACAAATTATAAAACACGTACGAAACAAAATGAAGAGTAAAAAATCGAAGAATAAAGCGATAAAACTAGTGCTTCGTAATAGTAGACAATGCTTTTTCGAGTGAAATAGCGTAAAGTTTGCAAACGAGGTACATGTGAACAGTTGCGCGGCAATTGCCAGGTGACTTCAATAACAGAAGCCTGTAATACATCAAAAAACTAACAACCCTGTCAAATATATCCAGAAATGTCAAGGGGCAAAAATACTGTGTATCTTACATTTTTCCTTTATCACAGAACCCACAACCTTCGACCTCATCGGACGGAGCAGAAGCGAGCAATAGCACACGACCTGACCACTATCCCCTTGAGACGCTCTCAGAAGGTTATACAGATGAGGATGGTCATTCACCACGTGCGTCCATCCCAACAGGTAATCGATCCCACCTCGTGATCACAAAACTTACTTTCGAGTACAAGCCGATTTTCCCTATCATACATGGTAAGAGCAAGTACGTTCTTGCAAAATATTTTCTTAACTAATAGAACCGTGAATCGTGTTACTCATTTATAAAACTTATGAACAGTTGAAAATTATCAATTTACGCATCTTAGAGAATTTTTTCAAATTAATTAGATGATTTGCTCAGCCGTACCTAGATTTATACATCAAATCCATTTTATCACATTTCAGAAAATCAGAACGACTCGAAGAGTCCAACTCTCCAAAACGGTGGCTCCTCATCTCGAGAGAGTTTGGCGAGCGCGGTAAGAGCAAGAGTCTTACGGCGACTGGAACGTCCACAGTCACTCGCCGATGAGCCTACTCTACCCGCCATAATATCGATGATCAACGCACGCGCGCACTCAACAGACTTTGAATATGTGGACGGAACGAAGAACCATACCCTCGGCAACGTGAAAAAAAACATTATAGAGTCTCGCAGCAGCGGAGAGATCGAAGCGCTACTCGAGGGTCAAGGGCCCCGTCGAGCGGCCAGCTTAGCCGACTTCCTGTTCAGACGAAAACAACCGAAACTAAACGTCACCACGGTCAACATAATCGCGAATCCAATGAACGTCGTCTACGACTGCGAGACTAGAACATCGCCGGAACCCACTTTCATCGGTTAGACAACACCACCGGTTCTAACTGCAAATACACATTGCACACAAGCGCCACGGAGTAGGATCTCATTGTAAATAAATTAGGGTAAGAGTTTCCACGTCGTTACTCTAGTGCGAATAATGGAGAGGATCATGTTTACGTTAAACGGTGCATCGGTGAGTGTTTAAAGTTTTTCACTTTTATAATGAAAAGACGATTTGAAAAAATCGTGAGTGAGGTTGGCATATTGAATGGTTGTGTTGCAAACGCAAGCAGAAATTGTACCCAACGAAGTTGCTGATGCAGACGCTAGAAGCTGTCTAAGTTGAGCAGCGGCAAAGAATTGGTTAAACTGATGGTTTATCATGCTACAGTGTTTTGTGTATTTAGCTTCCAAGAAGTGTTACCGTTATCCCAAGACTGCCAACAACTGACACTGAATATGAGATAAAGTTTAACTGGACGTATAATTATAATTAGCCTGGATTACGCTTACGAATTTATTGATATTAAAATTAAGAATAAACGATGGATTTTTTGACGTAAGGTTGTGATATAGCGGGGGGCAGGGTGTCCGTGGACGCTGTCAATTCATTCGTTGATTGAGTTTGTATCGAGAAAAGATATTGGATACTTGTTATATATATGACATTGTACTCACTGTAGTAAAAGAATAACGTTTATTGAATTGGAATCTTGACCAGACCAACAGGCGGAATCAATCAAATATCAATCAAACAGCAAGTCAGGTTATGCTTATATGTCAAAGTTCCTCACTTGATTTCAAGCCTTAATGTTTTATGGATAGAGTTTAAAATCATCTGGAGAAATTTGACATATTATGATTACATGACGTGCAGCCGTGTGTACTATCAGGCAACACTGACATTATTAACATTGACATTGACCGTATTTAAATTAAAATAATTCTCGCGCTTAGATATGACGAATAAAGTCTTTAGAATAACGACATACAAGATGTGTATTAAAAACATAGTATTCTTTTTCGATGTTTCATAGATTAAGCTCTTCATGTTGAATAGACAAATTATATATAAAAAAATATTTATAATATTTACCTACTCTAAGCTCAGCCACAATTTTTGAATTATTTGTCTGTCATACATTCTTAATACTCTTAATAATATCAACATACAAAAATAGGTACATTACATAATTTGGTTCAATGTTAGTTTAGTAAATGAACTGCTTGTCAAAATGTTTTAATTACTCGGGAGTATTTATAGATACTCGTTTGATATATTTGCTGTTTCGACAATACCTAGTCTTGTTTTAAACTTAGTGCTTACTGAAATTCATGTTCCATGTGCTGTTTGGTATTTGAGAATTATCAATATTAAATGACGTTACAAATATTGTGTTATATTTTTGTCAGAACACATTCAATAACCTCAAACTTGAACTTGGCTTGTCAAATTAATTAATTAATCAATAATTGTAATTTTCGATATACTAGTATTAATCGTGTCAAATTATTATAAATAGGTAGTTTTAAGTATTTAATTAGTTTTAATGTATAACTACTTATTAATAGTCGGTGAAACGGCAAAGCGTCAAAACATTTTATTGACAAGTTGAGTTCAATGTTGAATAAAAATACTAACTATGTATATAGCATGTACAGAGTATAATTTTTTCTTTTACTTTTTGAGCAATAGAACAACAAAATAGTTATTCAACTTTTAACGTGTTACGATAGCAGGTGCTAGTTGTACGAATTAACATGGCACCTTAGGGGCTATACTTATGCCTTCAGGTATCATGTTAATTCGTATGAGTCTAGTTATCTATTCATTATTCTATCTGATAATGTAAATAATTGTATGTAATACAGAATAAAATAAAATAAAATCCCAAAAATAATAATTGATGTTATACTAGATTTAAAAAAAAACATAGAGTTCACGCCTGATTTATTAAGAAGTACAATTATGTGGCATTACTTTAAAATGAGATTATGTGCTCGTTGAATATTATTTACTGTTAGTTTAAATTTGTTACTCTATTTATTTAGTTCTCTATTTATTTTGTTTAAATTTGTCACTCTATTTATTATCGTATAGAAAAAAAAATTCTATAACTTACTTATTGATATTTTTAGATTTTTTTAATGTTAACAGATTATTCTGCGGTATTAGTTTTACGTAATGTGTTTTATCCGTTTTTCGCCAGATTTTTTCTAAATATTGATAACAATTACATAGAATTAGTACCTGCACTTATGGCTTTATAACGCATGAATTATTGTAAACGACATATCTAGGCGCGATCGTTCATAAGTACATAAAACCTATTATAAAAAATTATATAGTAGAATATAAAATATTATCAGCCAAATGGCGATTTTACAAGTCTCAGACCATCAAGTATTCAAGTTTAAAAAGAGAGAAAATGTCATTAAAATGGCATGTGATGAAATCTTTGACATACAGCCAACATTGACACAAAATCTATGGTTCTATTCTGGTAATGTTATCGTAATAATAGCGTGTCAATAGCGTTTCAGTATAAAATCAAAATAAGAAAAGGCGTTAGGAATAATGCAATGATTGAAACGCCATTGAAGTGCCATCATTTCGATATCAGCAGAATTGGGACCCTGGTCAACGACCGGTGATTGATCAATTATAATATCTAAGCACAATTACCCAGGTTTCTGACTTCTGTCGTATTAATTCATTAGACTAATTTTAAATAAGTTCATACTTTTAATTATACCAAAATAAACATTATCGGTTAAGTAAAAAGGTATTATGTGAGTATTGTCAATTTTAAAACGAACAAAGTTTTAACATTTTTAAGGATACGTTTGTAGAATTGGTTGCGTCTACAATGAATGGATCGTGTTTGAATTTTATTAGTGACGTAGTTTCATAAAAATTATTTATATTAGATGATATTTTGAATGCCACCGCCTTTTAAAAAAAGTAAAATAATTTAGAGTTACTAATTTAATAAAAAGCATATGTTAAACATGTGATTATTTAACTTTTAAGAGGTATAATATTATTAAAGTATGATTACATGTCTCCTTTTTATGAAAACATCAATGTAGACACGCATATGTATCTACTTCATACTAGACCGTGGCATCCAATTTATTATACTAAATTATGAACATTGAACTGACCGGTCATATGGTACTCGTATAATATATATCTCTGATTTGAAAGACGCGTTTCTGATATTGATAGCGTTAAATGGAGATTTTAATAAAATATATTGTTATTTTATGCGATAGGTTTAGTCCCTTTGTTCACGATTACTAAACATTGCATTAAGTTTTCATCTTTTCTATAATTTATAAAAATCACCCAAAGGGTTAAGTAGGTCCCATTCTATAAGAATGGTTAGGTTAGATTAGATCTGCTGACGCCGCGACGCCGGCGTAATACGTAACTCACAGACTCTGACTGGAGCCCTCGTAACTTTCAATGTAAACGTAACAATGACTTTTACATTCTATAGTGGTATAATGTTATTAGATAGATAAATCACTAGCTTTTGTCCGCTTCTTCGCCCGCGTGGTCTAGTTTTAAATCCAGAAATTAGAAAATTCCATAAAAAAATAACATCCCCTTTTACCCCCTTAGTGAGCACCTAAAATTCCGTCTTAGTGAGCACCTACGTCCTTAAAAGAACCCGCATAAAAAATTTGAAACGAAGTTTCATACAAACTTTCATTCCCCAATTTAGCCTCTTCGGGGTGGAATTTTCAAAAAGCCTCTCTTAGCGCTCCACTCCACTCCCTAAGGAATCTTTATCTCTATTAGTTTCGGCTGTACGTTGTCTGTCAGTTTGTCAGTCACTCTGTAACGCAAGAATTTTATATATATAGATTAAGACGCCATTATAACGTTAATATTCCTTGACGTGAGAACCAAAGGGCGTGTAGAAGCGTTGTGTACATAACTCTTAAGTTGTCCTTGGTTAACCCGCTAAAAGTTGGCCATAAATAATCATCACAAAAACGATGATACATCTACTGTGATGATACCTATGGTTTAATTCCAATGTGTTTAGAACACAAATGTATAAATACATAATTGTGAACAAGGGGACGTTTCATTGTATCGAGTGGTATTCGTTTGATATCAGTTTACGGGTATAAATATAAATAAATATAATTTATGAAACCAAATAATAACCAAATTATATTATAGTTGTAAAATTTAAAATATTACTTTAATCTTTATTGTATTAGTAATTTGATAGCGCTATTAAGTTGCACCAACATCACATCATATACCTACACATCCAAGAAATAATTAATTCTTGGGAGTTATTGTGCATTTCTGAACTCCTCTTGGAATAATATAAATTGCATGCAATTCCCCGGTTCCAATGTCATACTTTTTTTCCGAAAACTAATCCTTTTTATTACATATACTAAATGATTATATAATTTATTAAATAGGTGGAATATAAAATTATTGTTTGTAGTTTTTTACTTGTACAAAAGTATTTAATACCTGGCACTCTCATTTTTAGCTACGTGGCGTAACTGTGATGTTTCTCTTTATTATTTTTGATTTGTTGAATTAACAACAGCTTAATTAAAACGAGCATTCGGTATGCTATTGTTAAATAAAATCGTATTTTGGGTAGGATTTAAATGTTACGATTTTTGGAATTAATCATAAAAAATCGAACTGCGATTTGAAGCCGATGGATTTTCTCTTTGAAATTTTTATCCACGTAGGCAAATTGTATTTTTCGACGTTCTTATATGAATAAAAGTATTAGAATTAGGACATTTTTTGTGCCAACGCTTAAAAAAATAATTCTGATGTGACCATAGCAGTATTATGAATATTCACTTCATTAATTTATATTTATATAATACGAGTATATTTATATAACCGCTTTTTAAAATCTGTCATTGTTATTACATATTTGACGTAACTGAGCATATCTTTTTTTCTATCCACATGCCGATATTTTTTGAACTTAATATATAGTGAAAAGTAATATACATCTCACGTGTTCAAAATACGTGTACTCG